CTACTGGTTCTAGTGTAATTCGCACCATTTCTTCCCGCGCAAATTGGGTCAGTCTATTGGTGAAAAAGTATACTCTTATATTAATATGATCATATAACTTAAATTTAGTCTATTTATCGCTGAAAGAAATAGCAGGGCTAGAGCATCTAATACAAAATTTTCACAATTTTGAGAAAAAATTGATGAAAATTATTGGATACATAGTATGATTACAAATAGATAAGTCGAAAAAGTCTTTTCTAACACTGAAATAATGTCACTTTCTAGGAGCAAGAAATTTTTGCATTTTTTGATTTATCGCTATTTCGACAGAGTATTCATTATTTTTGTTTCATCTCCTTTATTAGCGTTTCCAGATTGCTGAAAATTATAAGGGAGTGCGAACATGGACCAAGAATGTGGACATCTTCAGTGCTGATTATATTGTTGTCCCCATTGTTGAAGATATCCATTGGTCAGTCTCTTTTTCAGAGTGCATCTTAATTGAATATGATCTTCCATTATCTCCACCTAGTTCGAAAGCAAATTCACATTTTCAATTTTCACTGAGAACTTTAGTATTTAATAAATAACGGAAGTAAAAGATAATATCAAGGTGATTATTCTGAAGGAAACAATCAGTTTGACTTTGTTACTCAAGCTTCTTAAATGTAGCTGGTTTCAAATCTTGATGTTACAAATTCTACTCCAGGTACTTAGCTATAATTACTTTCCCTCGATACTCTATTGTGAATCGTGTGCCAGAAACAGCGAATTGCAAGGAGGATGATGCTTTACCAAAAAGGCTAAGGAAAACGTGTATTATTGTACTGGATTCATTAGCCGATGCTACAGATATGAAGAGGTATAAATGTGAACTTTGCTCTACTAATAATAAAAGTCCTTATGTGAACCAAATCCTGCACAATATCAAAATCTAGCTAATATGATGATCTTCTCTATCAAACAAGATCACTTAAGCAAGGTATTAATGCTCTTTAATATTGTTGAAAATAATTTACAGAAAATTAACAGTTCCTGTTCTGAGGGAATATCTTGTTTGTGAATATGAAGATAAAAGAAAATTGAAGGATGGAGATACAAAGTATTTTGCAAAAGAATTAATTGAAAAGGTGAGGTTTTTATGCATAACTTTATTTTTGTGACATTTTTTATCAAAATTTTTTTTGGTGCGTTAAATTTCGATTTTTTAATTTAATAGTTGTCAAGATACTTTAGATTGTACCGTTTCCTGTTCCTCAACAAAGAAACTATACAGATTGTGGACTATTTCTTTTGAAATTCGCTGAATGTTTCTTGTTGAAACCACCGTCAGTAAGTGTCTTTCGAATTTAAACGGTATGAAATGTAAACGATATCTTCTTAATGTTGTAAAAACACCTCTTTTAATAGTGAAAACTGAGCTGAGAATGACTCATAAAGTATTTAATTTCAATATTTTTAGAAAGCAGTACTTATTTTGATCATTGTTTGCCTTATCGGTTCCATGTGCCTCAATATTACATATTTTTAATGGTAATTTACAGACTTGAACAGGGCAGTTTCGAGTTCTCCTAGCACCGCGTAGTAAAAAAGATTCATAATAATTTTTGATGGAGATTGTTTTAGATATTAAATCCCTGTGAAAATCAGTGTGACGAAGAGTATTTTGCAAGATTTTTTTCTAGTTTATAACTCGAAATGATTCATTTCGACGATGGTATCCAAATTTTACAATCAGAGGCATGAGGAGGGCTATTCTTACAAAGCTAAAATCAGCATGTGATGAAGAAGCATGGCAAGCGTATGAAGAATATTCTAGAAATCGCGATGTAAACAAAAAATCGGTTGAAGACATTCTTCCAAAGCAATCAGCCCATAGTCGTTCATGTCAGTTATTAAATATAAAGCAAATTAATTTGCATTTATTTGTGATTTTTGCTTTTTGCCGCGTCGGCTACGCAAAATTTCAAGATTCCATCCAGAATATGGTGAAATTTTTGTTTGAATTTTTCATATTAATATAAGTTCTTTTTGTTTAATCCTTTTTCCTTCATATTTCAATACTGATTGTAATTGCAGCATCACCAGTACCGCGCCGGCGAACACTAAGTACTGGAGATTGTGATGTAGGTTGGAGTGGACATTTTGGTCGGAGACGGTCACTTCCTGCTCGCCTTTTTTATTGATCTTATTTGCCTTTCCTTTTCAAATTTTGATTTTATGAGTATGAAACATCAATGCAGAAAACCAGTGATGCTACTTTTTAAACAAATATACAGGTTTTTAGTGTGCCAGTTAATAATTATTTACTGTTTATCGTGTTATTCGAATTTGTTTCTCAACAATTTACATTTCAAACAGGAAGTGATAATGCATTAAAAGAATTCTCAAGATACTTAATTACGGTTAATTTAGGAATCCTAAAGCTGTATGGATAAAGAAAGTTCAAGTAGAAAATGGTTTACTAAAAAGTTCAATAAATTTAAATTGTAAGCAGGTGTTGATCACTACAAAAAACTGTTTGAATAGGTTATAAATTACTTTAAATCAGAGTACAGCATTTCAAAATTATTGAGATGATGGGAATTGCCCATGTTACTCTTTAGAAATTTTGATCTAATTATCAATGTTTCTTATCATTAGTGAAGGCAATTGTTAACTTAGGCAACGAATTTGATCGAAAAATTTTTCTGCAATGAAATTCGTATTTTGATTTAGTGATTACATTCAAATAAACTGCGGTTGCTGAAAAGCATTTAGGAAAGAAGAATGCTAGATAAAGAAATAAAAAGGGTAGGATGAATTGTTATAAAAAATGTGCAGTTTGTTTTATAATTCATCGGAAATTTTCTCTGTTCAATATTTTTTAGGAATTCTTCATTTGTGTATTGTTAGCGATCAATGTGATAATAGTTTTACTGGATTTTTTTCATTAAAATACTGTTGTTAATTATGTTGCTTAACGCTTGATTTCCACGACGTTTTTCGTTGATTCTATATCAAAAGTTATATGGTGATAGTCAACGTTACTATATTTTCACTGAGAAGTAATTCGTTTACCAGAATTCTGCAAATTGGTTTTAAGCATATCAAGTGATTTAAGACAGAAAACTATTAAACGTTATTTCTCTTTATTTCTTGCGGGAACTGGTCTAGTATGTGACTGAAAGTAAATGGTCCCTGGGAAGTGCTACCAAACTCAAATTGCTGGTTTCCGATGAAGTTCTGGGAGTGTCATCTTTTCAGGATTAGCGTTTTCGTCGGGCTCTTTCTATTCGGTTATTCATCATGTCTATTATGAGCTATACTGGTGGCACTATTCTGGCAATGGCAGGAAATGATTGTGTTTGTATTGCTTCTGATTTGCGACTTGGCGAACAGATGACCACGATCGCTACGAATGTGAAAAAGGTCATTTTTTTAATGTTTGCAAAGTAAATTACCATTAATTTCAGGGTTGCACACTGTTTTTGGAGTAAGGAAAGAGGTAGAGAAGTAGATTTGATTTCGAGTTGGTGACTAGTTAACGCGGATAAAATCACCGAGCTGAATTCTTTTTCATTTTCTCCTCCAAAATATCTTTCATATTGCAGGTTCACAAACTGGGCGAGAAAGTTTATATCGGTTTAGGTGGGTTTCATTCGGACGCTAAAACAGTTCTTGATAAAATCACTTTCCGGAAAAATCTATACGAACTAAGGGAGAATCGGAAGATAAAACCTGAGGTAAGCACAGATTTCGAAGTGTGACGTTTAACGTGTGACATCTTTGTAACTATTAGATCTATCAAATAGAGGGAGAATTAGAGGGTGATCGCTAAAAGAGAGGAATTTCCGGATTTCAAGAAATGTGTGCTTTTATTCATTAAATCTAATTTTTTTAAGGTGGCAGCCGTGATGGTATCGAATCTGTTGTATCAGCATCGATTTGGTGGTTACTTCACAGAACCACTGATAGCAGGTCTCGATCCGACGACCAATAAACCATACATTTGTGGCATGGATACTATAGGTTGCATCTCTGCTCCCAACGACTTTGTTGCCGTGGGAACGGGGACTGAATATCTGTTAGGCGTCTGTGAAGGTCTATTTGTTTCACATTGTGCGAATTTGTCATATGATTCTTGATATATTATATGTGTCATATTTCCTATTCAAAAACACTTAAATACTCTCATTTCTGCTTGGGTAAGAATTGCAGGATGTTTGTTCGAAACTACTCATGAGTCTTATTTTTTTTCAACTTTGTCGGGATTTCAGGATTTTGGAAAGAGGGTATGGGTTCTGATGAGTTATTCGAAGCGACAGCGCAGTCAATGCTATCTGCAATGGAACGTGATGCCGCTTCCGGTTGGGGTGTGGTCGTTTATACAATAACTAAAGATAAAGTTAATGTAAAAACCATTAAAGCTAGGATGGATTAAAGCTATGAGTTGTCCAGTTCTCCCTAATTTGCATTAAAATCTGAACAACTTACGAGTTTTTAATATTAATAGCTAAGATCCATTCTTTACACGACATATAGATTTTCAGAAGGTAGCTCATGATACCAACCAAAAGTTTGTAAATCAGGGCAAAAACTTTTTACTTGTCTCAATTTACTTTTAAAAAAGCAAAAGGAAATCTTTGACCTTGTTGTTTGGTTTTTTAATATTTTATTTAATTTGTATGCATCAATAAAAATCTATTTATTTTATAATAACACTAATAAACCATCTAGAAAGGAAAAATTTTATTAAACAATTCAACCGCAAATGTCTGCGAAACCAAAGATGGGATAGTTCAGCACGGATAAAAAGCCACCCTAGTTTTCACTTTCCTTACTGAACGATCTTTCAGCAAAACCATCGAGACTGTTCCTTAATCATCATAAAGATATCACCTTTCAATTCAACGATGACAATAAAAATATCTGTATTTCCATTTGTAATGAATGTGATTCATAAAAACGACACCGAAAGTTTGAAGTGGAAGTGGAGAAGAGGGATTAAATATGCACATGCAATACCAATGACGGAGTCATGTAGTTATTTGACCTGGATATGGATCGGGTCGATTTTTCCTCATCAAAAACTGTATTTTCCTCTGCATATCTTCGTTGATAATTGCCTTTGAGATTTCTCTGGACAATTCATTCCGCTGCATGTACGGTTTTCGATAATATCGTGTTTTTCGTAGAATATCTAGTAAACCTTCATTGTTCATTAACCTGAATTGGAATATAATTACAATCCGTATTGTACAAAAAACAAAGAGATGTTCGTAATGTCTGAATAGGCAACAAACTTATTGTTCTATTATGAAAGCGTTATGGAAGCAAAAAAGTTATAATAATTAGAGATTCAGGACTTTCTCTATGTTCAGTTTTCCTTAGTATTCATTAATCATTAATTGTATAAATCCGAAGCAGAAATTTCCTGCGTAATATCCAATTCAGAAAGCCGATTTGAATATATCGGTGCGGAAATAGCATCATTATTCGCAGAGGAAGACAAAAAAAACCTGTTGAGCAAATGGAAGGCTCCTGTAACATCATTATTAACAACGAGAACTGTTTTGTTGAGAAATCGTGGATGTGCGTGATGAATATTCCAGAATAGTTTTATACCGAAGGGTTGTTTTAGTGTCCCACGCCAACATCGTACCATCATGAAACCAAATTAGAAGTGTGGAAGAAACGCCGACGGGACAATGTCTCTCCAAATGTTGCCACCTTTACACTCAAATCTGCCCGTCATGTAGAGTTAAGTTACGATGATTGGTAACTGTGCAAACTTACGAAAAAGTTTGATTCTGTTTTAGCATTCAGGAATGGAAGAAGCCTTTGTTACTCTATGAATTGAGAAGATTTAGCTAGAAAATTTAAAGTCTTTTAAAATATTAGGAAAGATATAATTTTTGTTTGAATCGAAATATTTATACGAAATGAATTCAGAAAAAAAACGCAAAATTGAATAGAAAATCTCTGAATAATTTTGGGACTCAAAACAATTATTTTTTCTCCTTTTGGCTTTATACACTTATTTGAACTCTTACGAAGTAATTTTATTTCATTTAGATGTTTATTTCGAACTTTGGCTCCTTGCTACTTCCATCAATTCATATCTTTGATTGTCGCTTCAACTACAACGTATTTTAATTTTGCTAGAAGTGATGTGATATTAAAATTGATAATTTTGGAACCTGACAATTTTTAGTTCCGAATATACTTATATATGGTAGTTTCATGGTTCACTTTTTATTTCAGTCCAAATTTATATAGTTCTCAGTTCTCACTGCATAATATATCAAAACTTCCATGATATTTTTGTTAATTTTTCATGATCAGAAAATGATAATTACGAAAGATTTGATCTTCGTAATTCTATTTCATTTAAAGTTTCAAATATAATAAAGCGATTTTTCCGCTCCAACACGAAGTATCAACATATATAATTACTGCGTGCTATGCAGCACTTGTTCATATTTTTCTATTCCATAAACATGTTTGCATGCTTACCGGTTCCTTTAACCTTTGCTTTCATAATCGTCAAAACAATTGTGTTATCATCACTCATCATCGCTTGTTTACAAACTTTGTCGTTTTGTTTTACAATTTACTTATCGATTTCAGACTGCAACAATTTTGCTGATATTTCCACTACGCTGAGAAAATTAAAAATTCATTGTGCAACCGAAATAGTCGATATGTGGAAATAGCAGCAGAATTGTCGTCGCAGTTTGTTGATAATTAAATTGATCAATCGATAATTAAAGGATTTCAATGACATCACACTTTCTTTTTTCATTACATGCCTCATGCACTTCTTGTATCGATTTCTTCCACTGTTCGTTATACTGACAAATGATTGAGTCGTTAATGATTTGTAGTGTATGATATCTTTTTAGAATGCTTTAGCAGCCCATCAATGTAGCTGCACCTGTTGTACAATTTAAGTAAGCCTATCACCTTCATTTTAAATAAGCCTATCCTCTTCATCTATCCCTATCCTCTAATTAAAATCATTACATTTATATTTTAGTTTTAAATTTAGTATTGACTAATTCAATTTTTTTCCTATTACATTTTCACTCAGTTTATTTTACGCCGAATCGTTTCAATTTTATTTTTCCCTCCTCTCTATTCATTACTTAAATGATGTCAGTATGATATTTATTTTTAGACATGAATTTTTAGAAATATCCCGAATGTCATTGCAAATGCAGCTCGAAATGAGAGAGCTGAAATCGAACAATGAAGTAAAATTGATCCATTTTTCGTATCAAAAAATAATTCTAGATTAATAATAATTCTTTCATGTTCAGTTCGAGCTATCTCTCTCATTCATCCATCATTTTGGCCAGTTATTGAACCTATTAATCTTTTGAACTTTCTGAACATAGATAACACCAACCTTGCAAATCAATATCTTGGAGAAATTTATTTTTCATCTCTTTAATAACATAAATAGCGCAGTTTGGTTTTTTGGACACTCCCGCAACTATGATTTTAAAAATCTCTCCAACAATGGCGGCTGCGATTTTTTAACTGTCCAATATTGCCTTCGAAACAAATATACTTTAAGAATTTTCTCCACCTTTAATTATTACATCCTTTGTAAATTTAAACATTCTGTTCTGTTGAATCAACCAATTGTTCGGTACATTTCAGATGTATTAAAAATGCATCACTTTTCATTTAACTGCTTATTTTTCTTTTGTTCTCGAATTGCCCTTAAAATTTAGAAAGTTATCGTAATAATTAAAAATCACATCACATTTATGAATCAAATTAAGATATCGAATCAAAATGAACTGTTCCTATCTGAATATAATGATATACAACACAGTTAAGGTATGCATTGATGGCTGATATAGCATCTATGTATGTCTCATCTGTCTGTGATCCACAGGCTTAGTTCGATACAGCCATTAGTTTGACAGCGATGAAAAATGTGCTAATACAGGCACAGGCGATGATGTGTTGACAAGATCCTCTGACACGCTAGGGGTTCCCAATCCGTGATGCATTGCTTTGATGAAGCTTTCACCTAGTACTCATAATATGAGGCCTGTTTGCTTACAGCCTTTTAATTCCTTGAAATAGAAATTTTCTTTATTTTTCACAGGCCAATTGTATTAAGTAATAAAAATGAAATGAATGATAAGAAAAACACAGAAATTTATTTGAAAAAAAAATGGCCTATAATTGAACAGTTAAATTAATGCAAGGAGAAAAGGTATAAGAAATTGATTGAAAGTTAATGTGTTTCTAAGAGATATTCTATTTTTTAAGAGCTATCACTTTTTATGACTTTACTTCAAACACTTGAAGGAATGCGTAATTTACTGAATTACTTTGTCACTAAATTATTCAAGTTTATAATTTTTGATTAGTGCGAAGTCTTGAGCAAAAATCGTAATGCTAGCAAGTTCTAAACATAACTATTACCTTACTTTCTTCTGAATTCGATCGAATTCATTTACTCCTCGAGTTGAATTTCTATGGCTGACATTATTGAGCAGAACTATTGGAACGTTAGCATTATGTTGATAAAACTGTTATTCCTTAATTTTATATACCGCTCTTTTGAGAATGTAGAGCTATTCTTACAGCAACAAATACATCATAATAGGAAATGGATCGTCGGTGTTTGGTCTTTTGGAATTCGTAGAAAAACTGCGATAATCTTTCAATAAGTTGATAATTTTCTATTTCTTTTCACCGGGAAACTCTCATATCTTTCAGAAGTATTGAAAGGAAAATCCGAGGAATTCGTTTAAAATTGTTGCATTAAAAAATATGATCGAACAGTGGCTTCTGACTTAAGACAAAATTGAAGACAAAGCTTAGGAAAATGGTTGAAGTACTTAAAGACAAGTAAGTTCTGTATATTTTTATTTTTGTATCTGAAGAATAGCAGAGTTTCTTAAAGATTAGAATGTGTCTATAAATTCTTATGGTAATTCGTAAAATTGCAGACCCTTATAGATGAGTAGTTGGAAGACAGGAAAACGATAATATGAATTAAATATTTTAGATGAAATCACATTTTATCATCCTGTTTTCAAATCTTTATGTCATGATAAAATATTTTTTTATTAAACTCTAGTAAGGTTGTAAAATTTGATGAATTGAAAAACAGAAGCAACAAAATTTTCCCTTCATTTAGATATCTTTTCAAAAGTGACATTTTTTTTACCTAATGGAAAGTGTAATGGTAACCGGTCTCCTCAATAGAAATTAAAATATTTGAGAAGATTAGTTGAGAATAAAAAACAATACAAAAACTTGTTGCACATTCCGATGTGCATTTGAATTGAAATCATCGATTTTATTCACTTTTTTGTCAATATGTGTTTTAACGCTTTTGCAGGTAAATGTTAAGACATAGGAAGGAAGTGATGTAATTAGCTGGGTTTTGATTACCTTTTTTATATCAAATGAACATTACCGCTACACTGCAACAATAGATGATAACATTGAAAAATGAAGCAAAAAATATTCTAACCAATAAATGATATAACGCCTAAAATGAATGTGGTATATGTTAAGACTACAATAGCAGTAACAGCATGTATAGATTGAATAATACATTTGGGTGAGTTAGATTATAAATATTTGAATTGTTCTATTGGATTAGAAATTTATTCCCACCTTCTCATATATGCAGAAGCCTTAATTATACACGCCTGACATTGCGGTTTCTCTTTGAATCTAAAAAGAAGTGGGATAGTCAAATGTTATCATTTATTTCCCGTCTTTGGGTCAATAACGAAGCATGTGGCTCATCAGTAGAAGTAAGCTCAGAAACATCTGCTCATTTATGACAGTGTAGTCTTCTTATCTTAGTCTTCCAACTATCCTCCTATTGACATGCGTGCACTAGCCTTATTTGTTCAAAAAATTTATTGGTTTTTCTATCCGCTTGGATTTATCACTTGATACGACTAATCAATAGACTTGCTCAAGCGCACTCTCTTACAAGATAAGTAAATGAATCGCTCCTTTTCCTAACTTGGATTACACAATATAATTCTATATTTATGTTCACTTTTTTTTATTGACAAACTTTATTTGAGATTTGTTGTGTTGAAAAATAAGCAACCTTACGAAGAGTCATACACCAAACGTTCCAAAAAAACATCCTTCTTTCAAAGTTTCTCAAAACAATAATTAATCATCTGTCAGGTAATTTGAAAGTCACGGTTAAAGCAAGGAAATATTTCTTTATATGCTTCAATTAATAACTGCTGAAGTCTTTGTAACTGGGAAAGTTTCATTTAAAAGTAATCGGTTTTGCATTTTGTTTTGTTTAGTAACCGGTTGAACAGTATTCTTTTGCATACAAATTTTGTGCAATAAAATCATCTCTCTTTGAAGGAATTACCTCTGCATCTACTTCTTAAAAGTATACTAAAAATAGGCTGCACTTTTACCACACTAAAATTTCATCATTTAAATATGAATGTTGGATTTCCTCAATTCATATCTAATTTCATTAATCGTAGGGATAAGGGGAGGAACTAGGAGAAGTGTTTGGGAAGAGAATGACACTTAACTTCGGAAAATATTGCTTCTTTTTATTTTGAAATGCATCTCTCGCAAATTTACACAGACGAATAGCGTTGATCATATTTGTTCACTTATTGTCTTACACCACTCTTT